CATCAGCTACGTGCTGGTTGTTTCCAGCTCTAGGGGGCAGTGTTCATTGTAACAAAGCTGAAGAGCCAGCGCTCTCCAAAGACGTCTCCGTGGTCATGTGGCCGACAGGACTCAATGCCGAAGGTGCACAGAACACTGTTACCTTCCCACCAAAGGGGTCCCTATTTTTTCTACTTGCATTTTTTACATGCTTTCGAACTGCTAGGTTGGCAGAAGCTGGGGCCGGTAATGGGAGCTCATTCCATTACATGGCGCTAGGGATTCGAACCGCCAAACTGCTGACCTTTCTGATCAACAAGCTCAGCATCTTAGCCGCTGAGCCATCACATTCCTAACCCTAACCCTTGAAGTACTTAACCTAACCCTAACCTAATCCTAAACCTAACCCTTGAAGTACTTGAAGACAATGATCATGTCCCCTTTCAGCCATTTCTACAATAGAAATGGCTCCCTCAATTGTTCATCATCGGATTTAGCTGCCTTTATGCAAATTTGGCTCAACCCATAGCCTTGAAGTCTCGTTTACCTGCATTTCTGAATGCTCTGGAGATTATTAAAGAGCGTTACCAAAACAGCAGCCTCTACAATGATTATGGGTAAAGGGGGGGGGGGGAAGAAACCTACATTCAGGCAAAACTCTGAATCTTGGTTTCAGAATCCTGGTTTGTGGAAGAAATAACACAATCCATCTGACACATTATGCTTTGGAAATTATAGGCGGTCAATATCTTAAAAAAACAACAACCCCACCACCAAACCTCCACTGGAAAAATGAAATATTCTTCTCTCACAGAAGAAGAGAATATTTGCAGCTCAGGGCAGTGGTGGGATTCAATTTTTTTTACTACCGGTTCTGTGGGTGTGGCTTGGTGGGCGTGGCAGGGGAAGGATAATGTAAAATCTCTACTCAGAGGTGGGATTTGCCGGTTCTCCAAACTACTCAAAATTTCTGCTACCGATTCTCCAGAACTGGTCCAGAACCTGCTGAAGACCCACCTCTGGCTCAGGGTTGAATGGAAAGAATCCTGGTGCTCTCTGATTTGGGCTCTTTTTTGTGCAGAGATTTTATTACCATCATCAGCTAGCACTAATAACGTTACCTAATTTGATAATCTAATCGAACCCACCAGTGGAACAGCTCGCCTCCATAAGTTGTGGGTGCTCCGTCACTGGATGATATTGAGAAGAAACCGGAGAACCACTTGACTGAAATGGTAGAGGGTCTCCTGCTTGAACAGGGGGTTGGACTAGAAGACCTCCAAGGCCCCTTCCAACTCTGTTATTCTGTAATTTTCTGTAATCAAGAGAGAAGCAACTTGGAACTAAGGAGAAATTTCCTGACAGTGAAAACAATTAACCAGTGGAACAACTTGCCTCCAGAAATTGCTCCAACACTGGAGGTTTTTAAGAAGAGATTGGACAGTCATTTGTCTGAAATAGGGCTTCCTGTCTAAGCAGGGGGTTGGGCTAGAAGACCTCCAAGGTCTTTATTCTATTCTATTCTATTCTATTCTATTCTATTCTATTCTATTCTATTCTATTCTATTCTATTCTATTCTATTCCATTCCATTCCATTCCATTCCATTCTCCCTTCCCTCTATTCTATTCTATTCTATTCTATTCTATTCTATTCTATTCTATTCTATTCTATTCTATTCTATTCTACTCTATTCTACCCTACCCTACCCTACCCTACCCTACCCTACCCTACCCTACCCTACTCTACTCTACTCTACTCTACTCTACTCTACTCTACTCTACTCTACTCTACTCTACTCTACTCTACTCTACTCCACTCCAGTCTATTCTACTCTATTCTATTTCTTCTCTTCTCTTCCATTCCATTCCTTTCCTTTCCATTCCATTCTATTTCTATGTCTGCAACAAAACAGTCAACCTCAGAAAACACCAAGGATCCCCCCCCCCCCCTCTCTCTCCCTCCCTCCCTCCCTCCTCCCCTCCCTCCTCTGCAAGTCGTAATTACATTAAGCCTCCTTGTGCCTTAAGGTGACTTTCATTAATTCTCACACTTAAGTCCAGAAAGAAGGTGGGAAAATTGCCAACATGCTCAAAATAAACCACAAGAAGCTTTAGCAGGACAGCCGAACTTTGATAATTTCCTTTGTACAGCTTTAACAGAATAAAGGAAGGGACCTTGGAGGTCTTCTAGTCCAACCCCCTGCTCAGGCAGGAAACCCTATACCACTTCAGACAAATGGTTGTCCAATCTCTTCTGAAAAACTTACAGAGTTAGAGAATTCTGGAGGTAAGTTGTCCCACTGGTTAATTGTCCTCACTGTTATGAAATTTCTCCGTAGTTCTAGGTTGCTTCTTTCCTTGATTAGTTTCCATCCATTGTTTCTTGTCCTGCCTTCAGGTGCTTTGAGGAATAGCTGGACCCCCCCCCCTCTTCTTGCATTTGGTGATAGCTCAGAGTAACAACGACATTGAAAAAAAAAATGACTTAGGACCAGGGGTGGGATTCTACCGGTTCAGACTGGTTTGCTGAACCGGTATTTGAACTGACCGGCTGGCCCCACCCCCCCCCTCCCCTCCCAGAAATCTCCACACGGCCCATTTTTGGATGCAGGTAAGTGCAGGAAGGGGGAAAACGGGCCTTTCGGAAGTACCGGAAGTCCAGGAACGGGCCTGTTTCTGGCTTCTGGAGGGCCTCCATTTTGGCCCCTCCCGGAGGCCTGAGGCAAGCCTCCGGACTCTGGGGAAGGTGAGAAACAGCCCTCCTGAAAGTTTCAGTAGGCCACACCCACCATGGCCCTGCCCACCCAGCAACTGGGCAGTGAACCGGTTGCTGGGATTTTTGAATCCTACCCTTGCTTAGCACTGTTTTTCACACTTTACGACCGTTGCAGCATCCCTTGTGGTCATGTGATCAGAAGTCAAACGCTGGGCAACTGGCATGTACTTACGACAGCTTTAGCATCCCAAAGTCACATGGATCCCCTCTTGCGATCTTTTGAACCGGCGAATTCGATGGGGGAAACCAAGGTCCACGAAACCACCGTGTTGCTAAAGGATCAGCTGCAGTGATTCACTTCACAACGGCGGCCAGGAAGGCCGTAAAATGGGGCGAAAGCCACTTAACACATGTCTCACTTAACGATGGAAATTTGGGGCTCTGTTGTAGCCGTAAGTCCAAAGCCCACTTGTACGGATTTAAACAGTGGGGCTGACTTTTCTCTTCGTCAGGATAAGACCGTCCAACCTTGGGGTGGAATAGGGCAGCTTCCGTCCAAGCAATACATGGATAAGTTCAACTCACAGAGGAAGTTCCGAGTTGCTCACTGAGTTAATCATTCCAAAGGCTTGGATTGATAGGAGCCATGGGATTTTTGAAGGGGCCTTCCAGAGCAGTGGACTTCAACTCCCAGAATGCTCTAGTCGTAGCTAAGGATTCTGGGAGTTGAAATCCCCCGTGGAAGGGGCTATCTTAGATGGGGAAAGCTGATTTGGCAAGGCAGAATATTTAACCTGATTTCTATGAAGAACTCATGGAAAACCGATTTGCACAAAAGGATCTTCTCCCCATTAGATCTGCCACAAATGAAGGGTTTCCCCCCCCGCATAATTGGATCTGGTTAAGGCAAAGACAGGCAAAAAAAAGCAGCGGGAAATATTTTCACAGCCCTGTTAAACTATGTTTAGTGTTTAAGTCTGAAGGGAAAAAAATTCCAGAGACGGAATAAAGAATGCACGACAAAAATGGCTTGTATGGCAATACCTTTTAATGTTTTAACTTTAAATGTTCTTAACCTTAACTTTCTAATTGATATTTTGTGATGTCTTAAGTCGCCCAGATTGGCTTGATAGTGAGTGTGTAGGGGGCTTTCCTATAGATTTAATTTAATTTAATAAATAAAAAATAAATATATATTTAAAAACAAGCTTAGGTGTTTAATATCCCTGAATATTTCTAGAGTGCAATAGAAGAACAAAGATTTCAAGATGCCAAATGCTTTGCTTCGAGCCAGGCTAGTGTAAGGATGTTTTTGGAATGGAGGGAAAGATTTACTAGTGCTTGAGTGGAAATAAATATGGAACAGGAGGAAAAGATGAAAATATTTGGGAAAAGGAGAAGGGAATGGAAGGGAGAAGAGAAGGGGAGGGAAGGGAGGGGAGGGGAAAAGGGAAAGAAGAGGAAAGAGAAAAAGGAAGATCAAGAAGGAGGAAGAAGAGGAAAGAGGGGAGGAAGACAGGAGTAGAAGGGAGAAGAAAGAAAAAAGGAAGAGGAGGAAGAACGAGGAGGAGGAGGAGGAGAGAAGAGAGCAGGGGGAGAAGATAGGAGGGTGGGATAGGATAGGAGGAGGAGAAGGGAACAGAAGAGGAGAGGGGAAGAGAGGGAAGGGAAGAGAAGAGAAGATGGAAGGGAAGGGACAGGAAGGGAAGAGGAGAGGAGAAGATGGAAGGGAAGAGAGAAGGAAGAGGAAAGAGGAGGAAGAGGACAAGAAGGAGAAGGAAGAGGAGAGGAAGGAAGAAGAAAGAGGGGAGGAGGAGGAAGAAAGGAGTAGAGGGAAGAAGAGTAAAGTGGAGTAGGAGGAGGAAGGAGAAGGAGAGAACAGGGGAGGGGATAGCAGGAGAGGAGAGAAGAGAAGACAGGAGAAGAGAAGACAGGAGAAGAGAAGACAGGAGAAGAGGAGGATAAGAGAGGAGAGGAGAGGAGAGAAGAGGAGAGAAGAAGAGAGCAGAGAAGAGGAGAGGAGAGAAGAGAAGACACGAGAAGAGGACAGGAGAGGAGAGGAGAGGAGAGGAAGAGAATTAAGAAGTGACTTTCTCCTTTGTAGAACTGGCATGCAACTGAGTTTAAACTCATCTTGGTCATCATGCCATTTTAAGAATGGAGTCTCTTCCTTTCTCTCGGCCTGGCTGAATACCACAAAATTCACTTGTGTTGCTGCTGTCTAAAGCGGTTGCCAAGGGCTACACACGAGTGTTGAACATGAGTCCTGATGAGGAGAGCAGTTGCTTGGACGTCTGCCCCCTCTTTCCCGGGGCCTTTGGAGCTCCTGCCCTCCATCCAAGTGGCCAATTGGGGTATGTTGACGAGAACCTTCAAGTCCAGCCATTCCAGCTTTTCCTTCAGGTGCCCACAGCCAAGAAGAGATGGCAAATCCTGCCTGATCCTTTGGGAATGGAAGCCTGGTCTGGAAGATGGTTGAGGGAGATGCTTTTGGAGCTGCCCCATCAGGGGGCTTTGCTCTTTTCTTGGACGTTGCTTTCCATCCTGAGGTTCTGGCTGCTGGCTTCGTTGTATCTCAACCAATGTTGGATCTCTTCCGACAGGGCTGGGGATTCAACCTGCAATTCAAACAGAAGAAGGAGGAGGAGGAGGAGAAGGAGGAGAGGGAGAAGAAGAAGAGGGAGAGAGAGAAGGAGAGGGGGAGGGAGAAGAAACATCAGCAAATGTAATATAATATGTATTTATATCCCACCTTTATTATTTTAACAAATAATTCAAGGCAGCAAATATACCCTATTTTCCCCACGACAACAACTTTGTGAGGTGAGTTGGGCCGAGAGAAGAGGACTGGGCCAAAGTCACCCATCTGCCTTTCATGGCTAAGGCAGGACTAGAACTTGCCATCTCTTGGTGATTGGCTCACAGCCACCCACCCAGCCTTCATGCTTAAGGGGGGACTAGAACTCGTGGTCTCCTGGTAATTGGCCCAAAGTCACCCATCTGCCTTTCATGACTTAGGCAAGACTAGAATTCACCGTCTCCTGATGATTGGTCCACAGTCACCCAACCAGTTTTCTTATTGCATAGGTAAACTTTATAATAGCCCAGTTCTCCGTTCCTTTCAGCCAGATTAAAATGCTGGCATTTCAAGTTACGAAAACAAGTTTTGGGCTGTCCCTCCTGGCTCATATTTAAGGGATTGTCCACTAGGATTCCAACATCCTTCTCACAATTACTGCTATTGAGTGAGATACCACCTTTACTGCACCTGCATTTTGGTTTTTTTTTTTTTTTTGCCTAAATGTAGAACCTTACTTTTTTCACCATTGGATTTCATTATGTTAGATAGCGCCCAATGTTCAACTCTGTCAAGATTGGGTACAATGGGAACTCAACGGTGCCACATGGCAGGGATACTCTACAACTGGAACCCTCATGTTCTTAGAACTCTGGTTCTTAACTTCAGCCACTTTAAGAAACATGGACTTCAACTCCCAGAATTCTCCAGCCTCTTAGAGGTGTTGAGGTTAAGAAACACTTATCATAGAGGTTCTGTCTGACCCAGATTCACCTCCGATGGCCAGGTGGAAAACCATCAGTAAATTCTCTAGTAGACTATGGAGCTGGTGGCCCTCCAAGGGTTGTATCTTCTTCTCATCTCTGGTGACATTTCCTCCCAAGGCTTTATTTTGATTTATAATGCTTGGGTAAGACCACACTTGGAATACGGCATCCAGTTGAGATTCTAGAAAGAGTGCAGAGAAGAGCAACTAAGATGATTGAAGAGCACCATAGAGCACTGCACACCAGAACAACTAGACACAAGGTCAGTTTTCCCCCCCCGAAAGCCATCACTCTACTAAACAAATAATTCCCTCAACACTATCCAACTATTTACAAAGTCTGCACTACTATTACTGTTAATCTTCTCCTCACTCCTTATCGCCCATCCTCTTCCACTTGTGACTGTATGACTGTAACTTTGTCGCTTGTATCCTTACGATTTATATTGACTGTTTCTTGTATGATTTGATTGCTTACTGTACCCTATGACTATTATTAAGTGTTGTACCTGATGATTCTTGACTCTTGACGAATGTATCTTTTCTTTTATGTACACTGAGAACATTTGCACCAAGACAAATTCCTTGTGTGTCAAATCACCTGGCCAATAAAGAATTCTATTTCTATTTCTATTTCTATAGGCCTGAAGGCAAAAATATGTAAAGGATTGCAGAAATTGGGTATGGCTAGTCTAGAGAAAAGAAGGAATAGAGGGGACATGATAGCAGCGTTCCAGTATTTGAGGGGCTACCACAAAGAAGAGGGGGTCGACTTATTTTCCAAAGCACAAGAAGGTCAGACAAGAAACAATAAATGGAAACTAATCAAGGAGAGAAGCAACGTGGAATTAAGGAGAAACTTCCTGAAAGTGAAGACAATAAACTAGTGGAAAACCAGAAGTTGTGGGTGCTCCATCACTGGAGGTTCTTAAGAAGAGACAGGACAGCCACTTGTCTGAAATAGTATAGGGTCTCCTGTTGGAGCAGGGGGCTGGACTAGAAGACCTCCAAGGCCCCTTCCAGCTCTGTTAACCTGATAGCAATATTCCAGTGTTTGAGAGGCTACCATAAGAGGAGGGGGCCAATTTATTTTTCGTAAAATGTGGCAAAATCCACTTAAATGTCTTGCTTAACAACATAAATTCGGGCTCACTTGTGGTCGTTAAGTCACGGACTACCTGTAAACGGGGGAATGGGGAGGCCATCTTCAGTGACGCTATTGGAGGATGTCCCTTTGATCTTTTTAACATCCCTACCAGTTGAACCGAGTGAACTGTGAGCTTTAAGAAGAAAATCCAGTTTGAAATCGAGAAGGACCAGAGGGGACATGATTGCAGAGTCTTTCAATATTTTGAGGGGCTGCCACAAAGAAGAGGGAGGTCAAATTATTCCCCAAAGCACCTGACAAGAAACAATGGATGGAAAGTATTCAAGGAGGGAAGCAACATGGAATTCAGGAAGAAACTTCCTAACAGTGAGGACAATTACAGGCAGTTCCCGACTTATAAGAACAATTGAGTTCAACATTTCCACTGCTAAGCGAGACAGCTGTTGTAGTTTTGACCCGTTTTATGACCTTTCTTGCTACAGTTGCTAAGTGAATCTGGCTTCCCCGTCGACTTGGCTTGACAGAAGATCGCAAGAGGGGATTAAGCGAGACTGAGACGCTGCAATCCGTAATAAATACGAGTCAGTTGCCCAGGATGTAAATTTTATCGTATGACCCTGGGGATGCTACAACGGTTGTTCGGTGTGAAAAACGGCCATAAGTCTCTTTTTCTCAGGGCGATTCGGTCACTAAATGAACTGTTGTAAGTTGAGGACTACGTGTGACCAGTGGAACAGCTCCATCCCTGGTGGTTTTTAAGAAGAGATTCGACAACCATTTGCCCAGAATGGTGTATAGACACATACATTACACACAAATTCCTTGTGTGTCTAATCACACTTGGCCAATGAAGAATTCATTCATTCATTCATTCATTCATTCATTCATTCATTCATTCATTCATTCATTCATATAGGGTCTCCTGCTTGAGCAAATGGGTTGGATTAGACTAGGGGCCTTCAACCTTGGCCACTTTAAGCCTGGCGGACTTCGACTCCCAGAATCCCCCTGCCAGCTTCGCTAGACTTCAACTCTATGCCTGCTTTACTCTCTTGGAATCCCTGCAATCTCTCCACTCTAAGGGAGTATGGTTGAATGGGTCAATTCTAGGAGTCGAAGCCCTCCGGGCTTAAAGCAGCCAAGGTTGGAGACCCCTGGACTAAATGACCTCTTAAGGTCCCTTCCATCTCTCTCATACTCTGCGACCTCTCAGCCTTTGGGACCCAACAACCTTGGCACCTGTCGATCATCCTCCCAAACCCTTCGGGCCCTCACCTTCCGCCGGCACACCTGCTCCACTGCCGTGCGCGGCGTGGTGCCCGTCACGTGTTGTCGCACCAACAACACGGCGCAAACGAAGCCGTCCCGGGCGCTGACAAAGCGCTGCTCCAGGAAAAACGCTCGGTGGTCCCAGCCTCGGATGCGTGTCTGGATGGTGAAACGTTCAAACAGGTGCAGCGAACGCCGGAAGCGGCAGCAGGAGGCGGAGAGCATGGTGCGGCCCCCGAGGGCCCGGATAGCCTGGAAGATCCCGCAACGGACCATGTACACGCAACGGGCCATGTCAGCCTCACGGGGGTACCGGGCATTGTTCATGTGCACCAGGAGGTCCAAGTCGGAAGGCAGCACCCAGCTGCGGTACTGCTGCTCTTGCAAAGGGTCAGCGATTCTGGGCAGCAGCCACCTGGCATACAGGTAAGCGAAGGGCATCCTCAGCAGGTACCAGCCATCCAGGCAGGTGAAGAAAGTGGCGGCCGCCGTCCCACAGATCAGGAGCAGCGTCGACATGCTCAGGGGCTTACCTGGGCCCAGGTGATAGGATGCTCAGATGCACACCAGAGGGAGGGAGGACCTTGGTGCTGGCTAAGGTGCTGGATAAGTCTTCCGGTCTGCTGGTGCAGCTGAGGAACGAACCACTCTGCACCGGGTGGGGGGAACCTCCAGCTCCTGCTTCCCCCCACGCCCCCCCCCCCCGTTTATTATTTTAATCCGCACTTTGGTTTCTTCCTGCTTCCAGCAATGTTCAGCCCCTCCCTTCTTGCTTAAGTCAGCTAATTCTGGGCCCAGGGTAGCCTGCACCGCCCCCTGGTGGCTCCCCCGATCCCTGCAGCGCACCCAGCCAAAGGCATGGCATCCTCCGTTTGTTTGCTTGTTTCCTCTTGCACAATAAGACTGTATTTATGGAAAGGATCCGCAGTGCTTTTTTTGTGAGCTGCTTTGTCGGGCAAGACTGCAAAGATTCACAGAGGATTTGAGGGGGCCGAATGGGATGATTGAAGGGGTGGCCATGTGATGTACAGATTATGGAGGTTGAGGTGGGTGTGTGTGTGTGGGGGGGGTTGGAATGAAATAGCGTTTTTTTTTGTAATTGAAGAAAGAATAGGCATAGGGCATGTGTCTCGAGAGGCCTGCATTCGTTTATTTATTTATTTTTTGTTTTGTTCGGATGGCTTTGCTTTTTTAAAAAAATTTTTTTCCATTTTAACTGTTTTTTTCCCCCCAGGGGGGAAAGAAGGGAGGGATGGAAAAGGGAGGAAGGAAGGAAAGGAGGGAGGGAGGGAGAAGGAAAAATGGAGGAAGGAAGGAATGAAAAAGGGAGGGAGGGAGGGAGGGAAAAGGGAGAAAGGGAGGGAAGGAGGGGAAATGGAGGGAGGGAGGAATGAGAAAGGGAGGGAGGGAAAAGGGAGGGAGGAAGAAAAAATGGAGGAAGGAAGGAAGGAAGGAAAAAGGGAGGAAGGAATGGAGGAAAGAAAAAGGGAGGGAGGGAGGGATGGAAAAGGGAGAAAGGGAGGGAAGGAGGGGAAATGGAGGGAGGGAGGAATGAGAAAGGGAGGGAGGGAAGGAGGGAGGGAGGAAGAAAAAATGGAGGAAGGAAGGAAGGAATGAAAAAGGGAGGAAGGAATGGAGGAAGGAAAAAGGGAGGGAGGGAATGAAAAACGGAGGAAGGGAGGAAAAAGGGAGGAAGAAGAGAACGACAGAGGAAGGAAAAATGGAGGGAGGGAGGAAAGAAGGAAGGAAGGAAGGAAATCCCGATTTACTTTAGGAGTTGGTGGCTGCATCTTCCCTTCTCTCTGCCTCAAGATGTTCACATTTGAAAACAACGCCCACTTAACCCTTCATTTGTCGCGCTGACCCATCAAACCGGAAGATTTGAACTTTTTAGTATAATGCGGATTTGTTTTAAAAAATAAATAAATAAATTCAACCGGTAATCCTGGTGTTTTAGCGCCGCCTGCTGTCAATGGCAAATCCATGCTTTTCAAGAAGTGAATTTCTGCCTTCAGGTTTTCGTTCTCTGATATTGGACTGGGTGCAATTATTTGGACTTCTGGGGGTCGCCTGTGGGCAGGTCCCTGCAGTTCTTGGCAAGATTTTAGAAGCGGTCCGCGGCCGTTACGTGGTTCTGAGGGTCGAGAGAGAGGGGGACTGGCCCAGCGTTACCCAGGTAGCCTTGGGCTTCTGGTGGGGCTACACCGCGACGGAATGCTGGTTTCTGGCTTGTGCCTTAATAATTACAATACGAAACTGGTTCTCTTAAGGACTGCACTACCGAATGGTTTCTTTTTCTTTCTTTCTTTCTTTCTTTCTTTCTTTCTTTCTTTCTTTCTTT